TTTCTTCTTTCTTCTTCTTTTGCCTTCTTCTTCTTCTTCTTCTTCTTCTTTCTTCTTCTTCTCCACCTCCTCATCTTCTTGAAATGCTACCAACAGACTGGAACAATGGTGTGATCATCCTACTACCGCAAAAATGTGATCTCTTAGACTGCAACAACTGGAGAGGCATAACATTATTGTCTGTACGCGGAAAGAGTAAGGTAATGTACAACAGAATGCAAACCTTAATAGAGTTTTGTCGGAAGATCAAGCAGAATTCAGAAATATTAGAGTACCTATGCATGGAGCCACTTAAGTGCGATGCGTCCAAACGGGTTGGATTCAGAAGCCATTAAAGTGACGATACGTCCACAAAGAGTTAGCTACGGTAGCATCACAAATAAACCAGACCACAAATATAACCGGAGACTGTTGGCGGCTTTAGCTGGCTGACAGCAGGTTCAAAGTGTTCGATCGCTTGTGTTTAGGAACCGCGATCTTGGTGATTCGCCAAGTGTGGTTCAGAGGCTCTGAATTCCTGATCAGTATACAAATTCAGACTGCGTTTCTGCTCTTTATTCTCAATGGATCATACGACCTCACTCAAATCCCACTAAACTATCGTTTTCTTTGCCATCGATTGCCTACCTCTCACATCCTCAGTAATTTGTTGACTCTGGGGCTTATTCTCTTCTTTGTGGTTTGTTCTCTTCTATTATTTCTTGGTTCAGAGGTTGAGAGAGTCCCTAACGGTCACATTATGGGGGACAACTCAACGTTAGTTGCGTATTCTTTAGGTGTAAACAAAGTTTAGGTTTAAACAACGGATCAACATTATGGCACAAGGATAGTAATCCATAAGTGCTCCATTCTAATTTTCAAGCTTGAGTCCGAAGTTTATCAGCGCAGTGTACGAACTCCGTAGCACCAGTGAGGATCCTGAAAATACTTTGGGTAGATTTTTAACTCTAAATTTTGCCCGGGCAGCGCCGTTAGGCTACTCTTTTTAGATTTCCAACTGCCAAGGGATTTTTTAACGTGCGCAACAATACACACGGGCGCCCGATCTTACTACCGAGAGACCAGAGGAAATTACTACTCAGTATATTATTTACAGCAGGCAGATCAAACTGAGGATCTCCCGAGGGCCATATAGGTCATATGTGCGTCTGGGGGCTGCGTTTGAAGCCAAACGCTTCTTCGTTACGTCCTCTTTTACCGCTTTGGGTGTCGAGGGAGATATAGGGTCCTGCTTCGTGCTCTTCTGGCTGCCTCGACCAAAGACACATCGTGGTGCTGTAGAGTGTCTCTAATGTTATCTTCCATCTTGTTCTTGGTCTACCTCTTGCTCTACGTCTCTTTCCTCTGTTGGTGTCTGCCTTGAATGGTATAGCACCAAAAGGCATTCTCTCCAAGTGGGCAAACCATGTGATGTGCTTGTTATACAATTTAGATTTGGTTCTGTGCCGGCTTTATCATGTATGACCTCATTCCTGATGTACTCCTACAGCTTTTGTCAGACACATCATTTCCGTGGTTACTAATTTTCTTTTAGCCAAACGCTTCGGGCCGCTAAGTGAATGACAAAAGACAGTGAATTTCATACTGGAGACAACATTGCAGATATAGATGTTTTTTTTTTTTTTTCATGCGAACGAAAAAGGAAGGAGAAAAACAGTTTATTAAGCTAGCCTTGAGTGTGGAGGCGACACCTGATTAATTGATTGCATGGAACACTGTGGGGGTCTTTAAAAAGGTAAAGGGCAAATTGGGAATGCGGCAGCTTTAAATAATCAGTTACAAAATCAAAGGTGGTTACAGTTCATCAGCAGATCGACACGACTAAATGGAGATTGCTTGAAAACAGACAAGCTCGCATACAACGCCACAATATCCTGCGTGAGAATGGAGGTGGAGGCAGTCATCGCAGCTCTCTAAGGGATATAGAGATTTTAAAACAAAAATCAGAGGGGAGCTAGAGTTGTTATTTTTTTTTTTTTTTAAAGGGGTGGACAGGGCATGTGACGACTGCTTGAGTTGGTTGAGGGCCTAAAGAAGAAGCAGAAAACGATGATTATTATGATGGTGAAGAAGAACAGGAAGAAGATGATGACGCTAACGATCATGATCAGGGCGATAGCTGAAAACGCAGAAGACCTACAACTACTATTAGACATTGTGGTGCTAGAGAGTGCCAAAAAAAAAAGGGGGGGGGGGGAGGGTAAGGGGGAACTTTTCTGGAATGTTAAGAAAACAGAAACAATGGTTATACCAAAGAAGAAGATAATTCCAAAATGTGACATAGCAAAAGAAGGGAAAGTGCTTAAAGAAGTCAATAAATTTAAGTATTTGGGGACATTCATAACATCAGATGGACGATATGTGACAGAAATGAACAGCAGAATTGGCCAGGCAAATGCAGCATTTCAGTAGATTAAAAGTAGGTGCTTTATTATTATCCTTTCCCCACCCCCCCCCCCCCCCAACCCCCCCCCCCCCCCCCCCCCCTACGTCACAGGACAGTCCAACATTTTAGAGTGTGGTAAGATTGGTTCTCCGGGCTTGTGGATGCTTTTAACAACCCTAAACATCTAGAACTGGCCCTAACCCCAACCTACCTACGTCCCAAGAGAGAGTGCAGCCTAGGTCCTACGACTGCATGCAACCTATCTACCACCCTCTGCAATATTATATTGTCCCGTGACCTGTGGATTTCTCCTGCTTGGGGTAGGATATTAATAAAGCACCGAAAAGTATCTTTCGTAACAAACCACTCTCAGTATGGCATTGAATCTTGGAATGTGAGCAAACACATTAAGAAAAGTTTGGAGGTAACTGAGATGTGGTTCTTGAGAAGAATGTTGCGAATACCTTGGACTGCCAGAATAACAACGATTGCCTGGAAATGACTAACAAAAGTAGAACATTAGATACAACAATAAGAAGGAGACAAACATAATTCTTTCGTCATGTTATGAGAAAAGGAGCACTGAAAAATATCGTAACGACTGGAAAGATCACTGGTAGAAGAGGCAGAGGAAGACCAAGAGAATGATAATTGATAGCTTAAGACAGTGGCATGGAGAAATATCATCAGTGGAATTGATCAAGAACAACAAAGACCAAGATCTGTGGCGTTGCGGGATCGCCTACGCCAGCGGGCTAGGCACTTGATGATGATGAATGCTAATGATCGGCCCGATCATGAAATCAAATCTGCAGCATCATTTCTGTACCAGCAGACAATGGCTTCAATGATGACGAACAGATTTCAACCGGCAATGTTTGGACCAGAAATGTTGGGCTTTGGGATGGAGTGGATGAATAATGAAGTATCCACGGGGGTAAGCAATGGATTTCTGAGTTTATATTATTATGTTGTGCCTATACAAGGATTTATAAATATCAGAACGGAATACTGGCTAACCTCTTATGATGGTGACCGGTTTCCGATAGGATAGCGATAGGCCCGATAGGTGGTTGGTTGTGAGACTTACTGTTTGATTGTCAAGTTTGTGAGGTAATGTAATGGAGCTGATCGGTTTCTGCGAATTTATAGTTTTTGTTATGTTATGTTATCACAGTCGACGCTTATGAACATTGGGCGTCCCATATGTGCTCAGTCCTCCGATGCGCGATGCAGCAGCCACTCCAAGTGAGTCACCAGTCAGTGCCGGCAAATATGTACCTCTCTTTCTTACTAGTAGTAATACTTCTCTTAGATCTCTACCTACACACACATCGGCCGTGATTGTAACTGACTCACAGAGCATGTTAAGGAAGGTGGAGACAGACATGCTCTATGCATAATGACAAGCATCACTGCAGAGGTCCCGGGTAGTTTGCGTCCTTTGAATTGTTTTTGACTTTCTCCAGGTAATTTCCAATGTGTTGGGAAACGAGCAAGCAGATAGACTGACTGGCCAGTTCTGCACCACTGGTGAACTGATGTATGACAAGTTAGATGTTGTGAGGGCCCTTTGGGAGCGATTTAGCAGTGTGGAGACACATAGATCATTAGGTTAGGATGAGAATGGCGCTGCGAGGAGTTACCAGGGGATCTTGTCGATGTTCAACACTCAGGGGAAAGGCGAGACAGACATACAATTAGAGAGTTACCGGTACCATCAAAATTGGAACTCTTTGTTTGCTGCGGAAGATGGTGATGAAGCATTTATGGGAGTGTACCAAGTGCTATGATGGCGTTCTTAATTCAAAATTAAACATTCTCTACCTTCTGTTCTTTGAGAAGTGGCTTGGCATAATTAATGAATATGCCATGAAGTAAAGATAACAACCCAACTTATAACAGGCCACATGTAGATGGAGACTTAAAACACAATTAGAAGACTATTAGACTGGTGAAATAACATGGGACCAACATAAGATGAGTATAGAAGATAGCAAATGAAAGAAAAAGAAAAAAAATCAGAAAGGACAGTCCTTTGCTAATTAAACTAGTAATTTGATATATTAATATTTAATGTAGCTACATCTCACTAGGGGGCCGAACCAATTCATTCATTGTTAGTTATATTGACAGACTCCCAGTGTGTGTTCTAGGACCCTATAATAGGGAAAACAAGAATAGACACATTGCCTAACCAAAAGCATGTCGTAAGAGTCGACTAATTGGGAGTTTCCTTCAAAGTCCGAATGCATCTGCCTGAGAGGCAAGGAACCAACAGTCTGCATACAAATGAGTCAGAGCTGTAAAAGGGATTCACATGCAACACTCAGGTTCTGGAACAGGACTGCAGTCCAAAAGTGGATGAACAACCAGAACTTTCCGCCAGAGTTTACAGCTGGTGAATACGAAGAAGAAGATATTAACAGACGGAGCTTGAATACAATTGTCTTTTTTTTTTCTGGTGTGTTTTGGCTTTTTCTCTTAATGGATGTTCTGGCGTGATGTTTGTGACATTAATTCTGAACACATCTTCTGTACACGCAGACAACAATCATGGCCACCGAATACGATGGAGGCGTCGTCGTCGGTGCTGATTCCAGGACAACAACAGGGTAAGTTGGTGTTAGTTGTGGTTAGATAACATGAAGTTGTAATTAAAAAAAATATTTATAGTCCTGACTGCACTTCATTGTTCTTTATTCCTTCTTTTTTCAGCCATTATTCTGCCAGTAGAAGATAGGGCATAAACTAAAAGGTTAAATTAAGAGAATCAACTTCATTTCACAGGGTTTTATCGCATATGGCTTGGTCTTCCTCAGCAGAATAGCTGGCCGCCTGCCGAGAGCATCGCACCAAACACAAACTCCGTAGCTCTGGCGATGACCCCTAGTCATCTCAGTGAAATTTGCACTCATGAACTGAACGAGAAAGCCTTGAACCTTTAGAATGCGAGGCTAATGGCTTGACAATACATATATCAAGACGAAGTCTCGTCATCATCAAATGATATGCCAGCTGGCATAGGCGTTCATACATCTCCACAGATGTCGTTCTTTGCTGTTGTCGATCAATTCCACTGATGATATTCCTCCTTAAGCCATACATTGATTAACGATCTTTGATCTTGTAGCCATACGAAGAATCCCAAAAAATGTATATCTAGCATAAATGCTGACATGAAGGTCTTTGTTCCTTTGTTAATTATTTCTGCGCAAGGCAGACACAATTGGCTGGAGTCCAAGCATAACGGTCTGTTTGTTACCTTCAGTGGAATCCAGAGACAATCTCCTGTCTGAAATCAATGCAACTCAGGCTGACATGTCCTACTCCGTCTACTACTTTGTTGTGAATCTCTTTGAGCAAATCTCCCAACGATATGTAGGATTTTTTTTGTAAGCATGCAGCAAAGGGTTACATGGCATATACAAAAACAGTGGCTCCGTCTAATGCGGCAGGCAGCGTTTGGCAAAATCACCTTCATTTTTGTCCCAGGTCATGCTGGTGTGAAAGGTAATGAGGGAGCAGACACCTTGGCTGGCATTGCAACTATCAGGAATGGGCCATCAGTGGACAGGAGAGATATTATCAATGCCATATGAGAGACTAACCGCTGTGAAACTTTCTGTTTCATGGATTTTTTACTGAATAGACTGCATACCCTGGCTGTACCAATTTGAGCCGTGAGAGACAAGAAAAATTAGCTGGAGCTACCTGTGGTTAATCAGCCAGAACAGAATGGGAGTTATTAGCCTAAAAGCACTTGGAGACATACTCAGGAGGAGATTTTGGAGCAGTTGTGGTCATGTCCAATTTGCTGCGAAGATGATCTTTAACCCTACCAGACCTGAGGTCCTGAACCTGACTTCCCCCTATACCTTGAGCTCCTGGGCATTAACTCTTTGAATACCAAGGAGGGCGTTATACGTTCATAGATTCCTACCTAGAAGCCCAATAAGCACAAGATGCGCTGATTTTATGTATCTTTTGACTACCCCTTGGACCTGTGATGCTAAACACCCCGGGACTCAAAGAGTTAATGCGAAAAACCAACATGATATGCAAAAATATTAGTTGGATGCAAACAAGTGGCTAGAATAAGATGAAACTTTGAGACATTGTAGAAAATAGGTTTACCTTTTATCTGGCGCCAATCTTCCACCTTTGTGTGCCAATTTACTCAGCAGGATCAACCTTGTTTCATAAAGTAAACACCAGATGTTGCTGTTTGAGGGACACGCTCCCTTCTCTTACTATCAATCTATTTCTTTAAAAAAAAATAATTTTCAAGATTTTCCTCATCATTTGAGCTCTCACTGACTGTGTCATTTCAGCTGTGAACGTATTCTTCATGAAATTATTACCCCGCAGAGTCTGAATAAACCAAAGTATGGATCACCTGTTGGACTGTAAAAAGCCTGGACCTACTTTACTTTCCTGTCAAAGTTCTTGGTTCATCAGCCGCTCGTTTTATTGTGAATTTTCATAATTTTTTAAATGTAAAACAACACAAATTTAATCCAAACACGTGCGGGTGGACATCTAGGAAGACTATCCACAAGATCTGTTTACGATTGGCTAGTTATTTTTAGTTTGTGACGCATTGTTTTCACATAGAACGAAAATTCCCATAATAGCGGGCCAGTGGCCTGGTAGAGTTTAATGAACAACGAACAGTCAGTTCTCTAATTTTGGTTTAGTTGCATGTTTAGTTTGCACGTGACAAAACATTTATTTTGTCAAGTCTATGATGATTCTGCACTAACATCATCAATTGATTCCAGGAGCTATATCGCCAATCGAGTCACGGACAAGTTGACAAAGGTCACAGACTACATCTACTGCTGCCGATCTGGATCAGCCGCGGACACGCAGGCTGTCGCTGACCTGGTCAAATACCAGATTGACTTTCACAGGTCAGTTAGATCTTTGTTTACTGTTGGCTCACATTATGGACTTTGTTTACTCACAGTGCCTTAGGGATTTTATTGTTTAAGCAAATTGCTTTATATGGACTTTGTTGTTTAGTCAAATCACATTATCATAATCATGTGCCCTGTTGGTAAGAGTAGGCAGTTATTTTTTAGCCATCTACCAAAATCACAAGAGCCATGGATCAGGTCAGTGTTCTTGTCTTGTCCCATCCATGTAGTCAAATCTATATATATTTATCTACTGAATACCTGATGGAGTTTGGTATTTGGCCATGTACTTTATGGAGTTTGGTATTTGGCCACATACCTTATGGAGTTTGGTATTTGGCCACATACCTTATGGAGTTTGGTATTTAACCACATACCTTATGGAGTTTGGTATTTAACCACATACCTTATGGAGTTTGGTATTTAACCACATACCTTATGGAGTTTGGTATTTGGCCACATACCTTATGGAGTTTGGTATTTAGTCAAACACCATAAGGTGTGGTATTTAGTCTCATACCGTATGTTATGGTTTTTAGTCAGTTAGCTGATGGAGTTTGGAACTTAAGTCACTCATCTTATGGACTTCAACGGTAACAGTTTATGACTTTCCCACCCCACCAGGATGGAGATGGGCAAGGAGCCGCTGGTGAAGACGGTGGCCAACATCTTCAAACAGTTGTGCTACGACTACAGGGACCAGATCACCGCAGGCATCATTGTGGCTGGATGGGACAGTCGGGACGGGGGACAGGTAGGACATTGTCCTGTTGGAGGATGTATGTATATATGCGTATGTATGTGTGTGTGTCTTAAGATGTTGCTGGGATTATGCTTGTGTGTGTGGGAGGTTACAGAGGCTCAGTGTGTGGGATGTTGTGGAGGCTGTCTGAGATGTCATTGAGGCTCTGTGTGTGGGATGTTGTGGAGTCTATATGTTTGTGGGATGTTGTAGAGGCTGTGTGTGTCAGATGATGTGTCGGCTGTGAATTCATGTGGGATGATGTGAAATCTATGTGTGCATGGGATGTCGCAGAGGGTGTGTGTGGGATGTTGTGGAAGCTATGTCTGTATGTGTGTGGGATGTTGTAGAAGCTATGTGTATGTGTGCATCGGATGTCACAGATTGTATGTGTGGGATGTTGCAGAGGTTATGTATATGTGTGTGATGTTGCAGAGGCTGTGTGTGTGTGTGTGGGATGTTGCAGAGAATGTGTGTGGTAAGTTGCAGAGGTTGTATGTGTGGGATGTTGCAGAGGATGTGTGTGGGTTGTTGCAGAGGTTGTATGTGTGGCAAGTTGCAGAGGTTGCATGTGTGGGATGTTGCAGATGATGTGAGTGGGATGTTGCAGAGGTTGTATGTGTGGGATATTGCCGAGGTTGTGTATCTTTGTGTGGGATGTTGCAAAAGTTGTGTATCTATGTGTGGGATGTTGCAGAGATTGTATGTGTGGGATATTGCAGAGTTTGTGTGTGTGGGATGTTGCAGAGGTTGTGAATCTATGTGTGGGATGTTTTGGAGGCTGTGTATGGGATGATGCAAAGGCTGTGTGTAAGTGGAATGTTGCGGACTCTCTCTCTCTCTCTCTCTCTGTGTGCGTGCGTGGGTGGGAAAGGGTTTTGGAGGCTGTAGGTGCAGATATTGAAGGTGAGTTTGGGGTGTTACAGGACGTGAGTGGGAATTGTCATGTTAACTGATCAAGTGTTGAAATTATGAAGCGGAAACAACTGGGAGTGGCGAGTGAGAAACAATAGCAAACTCCATAATCTGTTTAAATCACTGCCATCATGGGAGCTAATAGAGTGAAATGGCTGAGGCATACTGAGAGAATGGCATGTAGCCGAGAGACAAAAACTGTAGACTCAAGAGAGATCAGGAAGATAATAACCAGGCAGAGGTACAGACACTTGGAGTCATTGACAGGAAAAAGAAAGCCGAACACTGAGATAAATAGAAGCAGGTGATATCTGCAGCTGTGAACTTCAAGGACTCAGAATGCTGAAGAAGAAGAATGCAGAGAGTGTGGGGGGGGGGGGGGGGGAGGGGTATTACTGAAACTCATAAAACTCTGTTTTGGGAATAGAGACTGTAGAAGTGTCAGCTGATATTTGGCATAGCCAGTCTTGACCGGATCTGGCCCACGCTCATCGCTCAGGGAAAGGATGAGACGGATATACAATCAGACGGTTACTGGTACCATCAGAGTTGGAACTCTTTCCTTGCTGCTGAAGATGGGGACTGAGCACTTATGGGAGTGTCTCAAGTGCTGTGATGTAGATTGCTAATTCAACATTCAACAATCCAATGTCATGACAGCCTGTGTTTACCCCTTTTGCAGTGTGAGATTGGGAGAGGTTTTTTGTTTTTTTGGGACTGAGGGTTTAGGGGCTGCATGACTAGTTCTGTCACCGCAAACTAGGATTTTATGTTTGCCTCCGGCAGAATAAATCCATGAGCTTACCAAAGATTCAAACTTGGTTCTTCTGTATGAGAGCCAAGTATTCTTAACTGTAAAAACAGTTTATTGTTTAAAAAAAAAATTGCAGGATACTTTGTGTTTTTCTTTGGAGCAGCATGTATTATGGTTGTTCTGTATCAGGACAATATAATTACAGATAGATTTGGCAAACTTTACAATGTTTTGATCGCAGCGGTCCACCGTTGGAGAAGACAGAATCTCATCAGCAGGGGACAGCAAGAGCAAACTCGATCAAAACTGTCCCCAGAAACGGAATGTGTCAACCAAATATTTGGTGGGGAGGAATTAACACATGCGGTTCACTCAATGGCCAGGCCTAAACAAAAACAACAATGTTCTTTGTTATGATGTTGCAGTTTTGTATTTTGTAGGTGTATTCAGTTCCCATCAGCGGGATGCTCCAGAAGATGCCCTTCACCATCGGGGGCTCCGGCAGCACATATCTGTACGGATATGTGGACGCCAATTTTAAAGCTGGAATGACCAAGGAACAGAGCCTGCAGTTTGTGGCCAATTGTAAGTTCTTGAGAAGCTTTGGTTGTTTGTAAGTTCTTGAGAAGCTTTGGTTGTTTGTAAGTTTGTAAGTTCTTGAGAAGCTTTGGTTGTTTGTAAGTTTGTAAGTTCTTGAGAAGCTTTGGTTGTTTGTAAGTTCTTGAGAAGCTTTGGTTGTTTGTAAGTTCTTGAGAAGCTTTGGTTGTTTGTAAGTTTGTAAGTTCTTCAGAAGCTTTGGTTGTTTGTAAGTTTGTAAGTTCTTGAGAAGCTTTGGTTGTTTGTAAGTTCTTGAGAAGCCTTGGTTGTTTGTAAGTTCTTGAGAAGCCTTGGTTGTTTGTAAGTTCTTGAGAAGCTTTGGTTGTTTGTAAGTTTGTAAGTTCTTGAGAAGCCTTGGTTGTTTGTAAGTTCTTGAGAAGCCTTGGTTGTTTGTAAGTTCTTGAGAAGCTTTGGTTGTTTGTAAGTTTGTAAGTTCTTGAGAAGCTTTGGTTGTTTGTAAGTTTGTAAGTTCTTGAGAAGCCTTGGTTGTTTGTAAGTTCTTGAGATTCTTGGTTGTTTGTAAGTTCTTGAGAAGCTTTGGTTGTTTGTAAGTTTGTAAGTTCTTGAGAAGCTTTGGTTGTTTGTAAGTTTGTAAGTTCTTGAGAAGCCTTGGTTGTTTGTAAGTTCTTGAGAAGCCTTGGTTGTTTGTAAGTTCTTGAGAAGCTTTGGTTGTTTGTAAGTTTGTAAGTTCTTGAGAAGCTTTGGTTGTATTCTAGATCAGCTTGTTTGTTTTTGATTTCCAATTTAACCATCCAACAGTTTACCATCCAACAGTTTAACTATCCAACATTTAACCATCCAACAGTTTAACCATCCAACAGTTTATCTAACAATTTAACTGTTCAACAGTTTAACCATCCAACAGTTTAACTGTCCAACAGTTTAAACATCCAACAGTTTAACCATCCAACAGTTTAACTATCCAACAGTTTAACTATCTAGCAGTTTAACTATCCAACAGTTTAACTATCTAAGAGTTTAACTATCCAACAGTTTAACTATCTAGCAGTTCAACTATCCAGCAGTTTAACTATCCAACAGTTTAACTATCAAACAGTTAAACTATCCAACAGTTTAACTATTCAACAGTTTAACTATCTAAGAGTTTAACTATCCAACAGTTTAACTATCTAACAGGGGAATCCTTGAAGTTTACCTAGATTTGTTTCCCTGAGTTTAGAAATAGATTGTTCTTGTGGCTTTCAAACAGTGATTCGATAGTCACACCACGGAGACAGTTGGGGCGGGGCCTCTTCTTTATCCTAATGTCCATGCCGTCTTAGCATTCGTAGTCGTGTCCGTCCACAACCTTCTGTCTCGTGTACTTTAAATCAGCTCTGACACAGGTGATCCTTTATGCCTTGATGTCAGCATCTTCTCTCTGGGTCTCCCTCTGCCTCTCCTCCAGCTTTCCTGCTGTCACAGTGTAGCCTCACCTCGTAAATATTGCCATAGGAAGCAGTGGATGCACATTATGGAGATGGCAAAAACATTTTCAACAGTACGTAGTACCGTCACTTTTGTTTAAAGGCATTTTGTTTACAGTGCTACAGTGATAGACACTTTGTGGTGAGTACCGGCACTATTTTAAAACACTTAATGGTGAGTTCATTTTTTTCTAGAAAAAGAAATCCATCCTTTCCGGGATGATGGATGACGGGTACAACCTGGAGCTTCAGTTGTCCAGTGCCCACATCGCATTGAGGACACAAGGCATCTGTGTTTTGAATGTTGATAAATATATTTTTCATGAATGTATTAGGAGCTTGTGTGAAAATTGTTGTTTTCAAATTTTTTTTTCTAGAATTGTTACAGGGTCGTGATCTGATTTTTTTTTTTTTTTTTTTTTGGGTATCTGTTCCTGTGGCGAAAGGGTTAAGGAGGTAGGTGCTGGATTCTTACACTTATTAAACAAAAAATTGATTGTGAGAATGGAGAATAGATTGCAAGCCTTCTTTGACGTATAAACGGCAGAATAAGTCGATGGTGGATGTTGGTGCTTGATGTGGTCGTATTTATATTTATCTGAGATTTGTTTGGTTTCTCCTCACAGCTGTGTCCCTGGCCATGAACCGTGACGGATCCAGCGGTGGAATCATCCGTCTGGCCTCAATATCCAAGGATGGAGTGGAGCGGCATGTACTCACCGGAGATAAAGTGCCTCAATTTTACGAGGATTATTAAATGATTTGCGGAATTTTCTGTTGAAATGTATGCGTTTTCTGATAATGCCAAGACTGTTTTTGCGATAAGGTGTAGACGATGAGAATATTTATGTTGGAGATAATAGATTTTCTGTGAAAATTATTTCAATGAGAGAAAGTAGATTTTGAGTGGATATTATTTTATGCGACAGAAGGTAGATTTTGAGTGGAAATTATTTCACAGGGAAAAAATAGATTTTGAGTGGATATTATTTAACAGGGAAAAAATAGATTTTGAGTGGGTATTATTTGATGTGACAGATTTTGAGTTGAAATTGTTATAATTTCATTGGATGCAAGTAGAATTTGATGATAAGCCTGCAGCTGTACGTCAGGAGTTGAAAAATAATGTATGTATGGTTGATGACTTGGGGCATATTGAAAGATTCAGATGACAGAGAAGTAAAAACTATACACGAGGGAGCTGAATTGTCGTAGACCACGAGGCAGACCAAGAAGACGATGGAGAGATAATGTACAGACAGACCTGCAAAAACTTGGTGTCACCAACTGGAAAGAGAAGGCCAACCAGATAGATGAATGGAGGCGGGTGTTATCTGCAACAATGAACCTCATGGGCTCGGAATGCTGAAGAAGAAGATGATTGATGACATTACTTGAGTGTTTCATTTGTTGAATTGTAGATGGATGTAATTTGGTACCAGGATGTTTGTGATGAATTTGTTGGACATCCCAGCACTCAGGGTATTCCCATAAGTGCTCCATCTCCATCTTCAGCAGCAAGCACAGAGCTTCTATGCAGATGGTACCAGTAAATGTCTAATTATATATCCTTGAACTTTCTCTGTTAAGCATTGACCAGAACCCCTGATCCTCCTTGCAGCACCATTCTCTTCAGACTCCTATGATCTGTTTATGCCGCCACACTGTTAACTCGCTCACAAAGCACCCTTACAGCATCTAGCTTGTTGTTCATGATGAATACCCATAAATCTTTTAAAGAAAATTTCATTTGTTTTGTTGTTGTTTTTAGATATTTGATTTAATAGCAGATGCAGTTATAAGGTTTGATTTGATTTGATTCAAGGACCGACTTTACAGCACTCGGTGCATTCCCGTTAGCGCTCCGTCCCCATCTTCGGCAGTCAGCGAAGAGTTCTGATACTAATGCTGCTAGCAGCATTCTGATTAAACGTCTGTCTTGCCTTTCCTCTGAGCCTCGAGCATCTGCCAGAACCCCTCGTCACTTCCCCCTGCATTGATATCACCAGACTGTGATGATCCATCTGCTCTCCGAACTGTACACGCTCTCCCACAAGGCACTAACCACGTCTGCCTTATCATGTATAAGTATTCCACCAAGCTGTGCAGAGCCAGCCAGTCTGTCCACCTGTTCATTTCCCAACACACCGGCATAACCAGGTGAAAAAAATCAAGACAATACTCCTCACCCGTGTGCTCCGCAGCAAGGCATGCCACTCTGCACAAAGCATGCCTGTCCTGTTCTTACTCAGCATGCTTTCTGAATCAGTTACAATCACGATATGTGTGTGTGTCATGTTCTCTAACCAGCGGAGAGCTGCAGTGACAGCCTCCATCTCCATTCTTAAGCTGGATGTTGTGGCATCACATGCTAGGCTCTCCTGTACCAAATATTGACCATTAACTTTTGCTAAGATTGCTTATTAAGTATAAGAGGCATGAAGAAAGAGTACTAGATTTTTTATTTTTGTTTTAAACATACGGCTGTGAAGCCTGGACAGTTAAAAAACAAGCTAAATCATATTTTGAGACCTCAGAGATGTGGTTTTACAGAATTCCTTGGACAGCTAATAAGAGCAGCCCAGATGTTTTGAAAGAGGCGAGTGCTCGAAGATGAATTATCACAAACATCAGAAAGAGGCAGTCATTTTTTTGGGTCATATTATGAGAAGAGGGAAAATGGAACATGTTGTGACAATTGGAAAGAGAGGAAGACTCTTAACTGCCTTTTCTTATGCAAGGAGGGGTATCAGCACATGAACTGATACACGCAGCTGTGGATTGCAGGTTGTGGAGAGGCATGATTGCCCACGCCAGTCGGCAAGGCATTTTGAGGATGATGAGTAGATTTAGCTGGCTGCCAGGCCGAAGGTTATCTGAGTTCAACCGGGTAGAGGTTTGATGTTGCAGCATTCAGGACAACCCTATATCAGCTCTGTCCCTCTTCTCAGCAGCCAGTAAGAGTTTCCATACCAATGGTACCTGGTGTCGTATGGTTAACTTCGCATCCTGCCTGATCCTCGAGTGTTCCCTGAACCCGCAGACACTTGCTTCTGCAGATGCCAGGCCCGAAGTTCTGTTGTTCAAATCTGTATTGAGGCAGATTAAGGATAAAGGTAAAGTTGGGAGATGGGAATCAGCGTCATTGCACACGGTTATAAACCATAAGTGCTCTGCCACCAGTACGGACATCTGATGAGAAACTGTCCGTCTGTGTCGCCGTCCGCACGTAATTCCGTAGCTACAGCGACGTTCCTCCATTTACCCCAGAGTGTTAAATCTGGTACCCATTTCCTAGAGGCTGGATGAACCTCGGGAACCGCTCGGTTTCAAACACCGGCCGTGGGCTGCAGCGAGTCGCAGCTGGATTTGAAAGCGAGCCTTGTATCGACTGCGCTATGTTCTGTGTTGCACTATATCCATTTGATCCCAGAGAGCCTTCAACACATCCACTTTATCTCAAAGCTGCTCACCACCCAGAGGTACAGCAGCAGCCAATCTATCAGCCTACTTGTTACCCTGCACACCTGAATGTCCTGGACAGAAAATCCATGATCTTATAAAGTGATGTAAGCCACTCTGTGAGGTCTATAGAAATTAGATTTAACGTATGCCCGATACAGCGGCGTTGCGAGTCTGACTCGTAATCCAACGTACTGCGATCCAAACCAACTGCAGGCTGCATGGATTTTTATCGTGGTATGGGACGTCGCAGGTCGACCCAGCCTCAAATGGGTACCAGGATGGGCTGTCCTGGGAAAGTAAAGATGGCCGGCGTAATGCTGACCACATTACCCACCGAGGGCCGATTGGTCTGTAAAAATATGGGTGCTCTTCCCATATGCCCGATGTGCTAAGGGCGTGTAGAGGGATCTTTACTTTTTTTTTTTTCAACTTATGCCCGATACACCACTAGCATAGTTAAGTGTTGAGCCAAGAACTGACATCAGAGCTTCCAGGACATTCCCATAAGTGCTCCATCCTCATCTTCAGCAGCTAGCAAAGAGGTCCAATTCTGATGGGAACAGAAGCATTTGATTATCTGTCCGTCTTGCCTCTCCTCTAAGTGTGGAGCATTGACTAGATCCCGCGGTCACTCCTAGCTGTACCATTCTCTCCAGACCATACTGATCTATTGGTGCGTCTGCATTGTTTTCTTGCTTCCAAAGGGCCTTAACCATATCTAGCTTGTCATATATAAATTACCCGCCCTTTGATGCAAAACCAGCCAGCCTGTCTGCGTGTTCATTTCCCAACACTCCTGCCTACCCTGGAGAAAATACTAGAACAACGCTAACTATCCAGAACCTCGTAACTGATGCAGAAAGACACTATACTTAACATTTTTAATAGTTATTAAACAAAAACAGCAGAAAGACATAATTACATGATTTATATATATTTCACAGGACAAATGCATCTTACAATTACAGCTTGTTATAGATGTGTCTACTGCACGGAATGAATACATGAGATCGCAATGTTAATCGATTGCTGACACGTAAAATAGAATGACAAAATAATACTGTTCTGATTTATGAATTTATATATAGATATAATTTGCACGACATCAGGAGCCTCTCTTGGCAGTGGTTAAACGTCGCAAGCTAGCTTGGTTTGGGCACATGGTGAGGCATGATTTAATTGCAAAGACTGTACTTCAAGGAACTTTTGGGGTAGTCGAAGAAGAGAAGGGCAAAGAAGAACCTGGAATGACAACATAACGAAATGGACAGGACTAAGTTATCATACACTTATTCATCAAGCAGAAGACAGAGAGAAAGATGGCGGGTTTTATGGGCTAGTGCTTCCGTCAATACACTTCCACGACCTTAATAGGTCAAAGGTTATGTTATACAGATATATCACACTTATCGTAATCATATGCTCTGCTGATAAACAAAGGCCATTGTGTAACCACAATGAAGTTCAGAATCAACATTAAAGGGACTGTAGAAATACGGTCTGGGATATGTAGGAGTGCAAGGAAATGAAAGAGCAGATTTTTTAGGCTACAAAAGTGATAGCACATGTACATTCTGACTGGACAAAGAAGACATTCAGAAGACGATATAAGAACAAATACTAATACAAGACAAGAGGTTAGAGGAAATAACGTGTAAGAATGTGTGAACACGAAATTAGAAGTTGATCTTACAAGGACGGAGAGGACGACAACGTCGTGTGTACTACAGATACAGTTAGCATCTACACCAGGGCTATTCTAAAATGTTGAAAATAGGATCCAATTGTGGTCCAGACGCCTTAGCCTCTGCCCAGAAAGATCATTAATACATCACAACTGGCAATGATCCGTGGGCCACTTGCTAGATCTCCACGGACCATATTTAGCCCACAGGCCGTTGGTTGAATAGCTCTAATCTATACCTTTAGACATTTGCTAAGCAAAACTGAGCATCTGTGGGTGTGCCTGGTGTGCTGTTGTATCAATTCTTAAATGAATGTTTTTTCCTTCGCATAGTGAGACAGAAGAGTGTTCCCTCCCTCTTCCCCCCCCCCCCCCCCCCCCCGGTGCTGGTAACATTTCTGTTCTTGTTGTTCTGTTGTCTGCAGGATACAAATTTAAAGACAGTATAAGAGAACTATTGTGAGCCGCCGTGATGTAGAGGAAATTTGCTCGCCTGTGGATCGGAAAGACATGGATTCGGGTCCATTCGCACAGTCTTAGCCACAGATGCAAACAAGCAGGTTATAAACATCGACTAACTGGGAGTTTAACCGAAAGGCCCAGATATT